CTTCACAACCTCCTCAGGCAAGGAGTTCCACAGGTTGACTGTGCGCTGTGTGAAGAAGAACTTCCTTTTATTTGTTTTAAACCTGCTGCCCATTAATTTCATTTGGTGGCCCCTAGTTCTTATATTATGGGAACAAGTAAATAATTTTTCCTTATTCACTTTCTCCACATCACTCATGATTTTATATACCTCTATCATATCCCCCCCTTAGTCTCCTCTTTTCCAAGCTGAAAAGTCCTAGCCTCTTTAATCTCTCCTCATATGGGACCCGTTCCAAACCCCCTATTTGCCTCAATCAATCCCATCAGCAGTTTGTTCCACAGATACATTTCTACTTTCATGAACTGTACATCAAGAATATTGGCTCTTCTACAGCTGTCATGTTAAAGAGAAGAGCATTCTCACCTCTCCTTCCCCTTGCAGAGCCTGCAGCTCTTTTTTGTAGGTCTTTTTCCCTAGAGTCTCATAGATTTTGGTCATCACTGGAATCTTCTCGCTGCCGTCGCTCATAGCCGTATGGTATTTAGGCTCAGGAAGGTCTCCCATGAAACGAAGGATAGTGATCCACACCGCGAGTGCTGCCTATTTGCAACGAAGGTGAAACTTACTAGAGTTCTTGGCTTGGTCTGGGTGAATATAATTACTTGTATGTATTATACTGTAATAAAGCCATGACCACTAGTGACTGGATCCATACCAGCGCTAAACACTTCATGACAGCATGGATAATACTCAGATCCTCTGCTCCAAAAGCACAGGCCGCTGCTACTTGAGCGAAAGGAGACTCTCCTTTGGCTGTTAGCAGTTCAGGGTCTATGACAAACCATTGAGCGGTTCTGAATCTGTCCAGGAGAGGGTAGTGGTGAGTATAGTGCAAAATGACTAGTTCATTACAATGTGTACTGTAAATGCAAATTAAACTAAAATTGGGCAACATGGACCACCGTCTGGAAAATACATGACACGCCTCTCATTAAAGTCGAGTATAAAGGAGAAAACTCTCAAATTAGAGAATCAAAAACTAATTGTGTCCCTGCCCTTGCCCCCTCAAAAAGAACAATCAGACTTTGTTAGTATCAAAAAAAGGATTTCCTACTAAGTTGAGATTTTCTGTCTAATCATTTCTCAGATGCATGAACAGAAAGGCCAGTAGCATAATAACAAACAGGGAGGATAGTATGATCCATCTTTTTATGTAATGTAGGGCCATTAAGGAGTTTTGGCACAATTCTCCTATACAGTTCTTGTGCACACCCTGTATATGTGGCTCTTGGCCCAATCCCTAACAGACCGGTCACCACAAGCACAGTGGGCACCGTTAGAGCATCTCAGCCCAGACACCAAGGACTGAATGGGCATGTGGACTGACGTCCCATCTTGAGGCACATGGGTGGGACAGTGTGGGAGCAGACTGTCCTACTGCTGTATATTTATACCTGTTTGGTGGCCCTCTGCCTCCCAAGCTTTGACTCTAGCCTGCTACACAAGTACTAGATTAAGGTTCAGAATGCTTGGGGGGGATTGTTTTATTACTGGCTTGCACTGTTTTATTTCTTAAACATGGTGCTCAAGCACATTGCAAATGAAATTTCCTTATGGTGCACCACATGACTACTGTAAAAACCCCAGTGGCTACTTGTCCTATAGAAAGAGAAGCCATCAATGAAGGTCACACAGGACATCCAATAGCAGATAAGGACTTTGCTCCTAAACTATCTTCAGACTCGTGTGTCCTACTGGGATGGATTCAAATAGGTGTCCTAGAAACGAAGGGCTCTGTAGCCTATTACCAACCCCCTGAACCATCCAGCCCCATTCTTCATGACCAGGACATTTACGGATTATTTCCTGTCTCACCAACTGGTCTCCTTCATCCTCGTGGTACAGAAGGGGCTGCTTAAGTGGCCGGCGGATGTACGTGTGTGTCGTCGTGCCCTGGAAGTAGGTGGCTGCAAACTTTGCAAATTTGTACTCCGAAAGGTCTTCCTCCTCTTCCTCGGGGAGGGGCAAAGCTGCGTCTAAATCCTCTTCCTCTAGCTCCTTTTGGGCTCGCTCAAGGTCCTGGAGAGGGAGGAAAATATACATGCCCGATTTGGTTTAGTATCTTTAAAAGCTCCCTCACCCTGCACCTGACGTTGCTCCCAGTTCTGCCACTGATTTCAATAGGGCCAGGATCAGTTCTCAGGACAAGAATTGGCACAAAAGACCCAATCCAACTCCCCTTGAAACCAGTGATTTCATAGATTATTAGGGTTGGAAGGGACCTCAGGAGGTCATCTAGTCCAACCCCCTGCTCAAAGCAGGAACAACCCCAGACAGATTTTTGCCCCAGATCCCTAAATGGCCCTCTCAAGGATTGAACTCACAACCCTGGGTTTAGCAGGCCAATGCTCAAACCACTGAGCTATCCCAAGGGAACCTGGATCAGGCCCACGTGAGGTCTATAGATACTTCTTTATCCTGAGGAGAATCCTCTGTGAGACAGACTCCCAAAGGAAGCAGCAAGTGTGAACACACTGGAAAAAGAGTTATGATGAGCACTCCAAGAGCTAACCATTAGGGTAACAGGGTGATGATGCTGAACCAAGGTGGGATGGATTGCCATCTGTCCCAAAATGTTACTCTGAGCAACACTAGCAAGCCCTGTCTGTTGCTCCATTCTCCATGCAGTACCTCAAAGCCATTGGGTGCCTGTCCTTCCTGGCCTGGCAGAGACGAAGTGGTCCCTAGGAATCCAAACATTTTGTCCACCATATCTGAGTCGTTCACTGGCTCGTTTCGGGCCTTCTCCATTTTGTCCAAGAGTTCCTTCTTCCGACGGGCTTCCTCCTTCTCCTTCACCTCTCTCTCAGCATCTTCCCGGGCCAGCTGGGCAAGGCGTACCTAGAAGAGAACGGGTACACTGACTAGAGTGCATTCTCTGGCAAGCTGGTCCCAAATTCTGCAGCTTGGCCCCTTGGCTTTAGAGCAGAAGGATGGTTTTGGGGTTAAGGCACTAGATTGAGACGCAGAAGATCGGAGATAAATTCCCAGCTCTGCCACTGACTCACTGTGTGACCTGGGACAACGCACTTAAATCTGTGCCTCAGTTCCCCACCTGCAAAATGGACACACCAATGCTTCTTTCTCTCTTCTTTTGACTATTTAGAGCCCAAGGTGCAGGACTTTTACTCTATGTACATACAGCACCTAGCACAGTGGCAATGTTCCAGTGACAGTTGGGGTCCTTTATGCAGTCCTATCATACCAAAAAGAACAAGCATAATCTGTGGCCTTGTGGTGTGGCAGATCGGAAATTCTGTGCTAGCTTCATTCAAGTGAAAATAGGGAGGGCTTTACTGAATCAAATACGAACAATATAACAGGACAGCAAGTCCTCCTACTAATTTATTGGGATGCTGCCTTCAATTGACCTTATTCTGCCCCTACACTCTTCAGCAGGAGTAGAATCAGGCCCTAAAGAGAAACCAAGAAAGAGAAAAGTCAGAACGTACTTGGTGCTTCTTTTCTGCTTCCTCTTTGGCTTTCTTGGCACTCATCTCCTTCCGGAGCCGTTCCTCTTCTGCCAGACGAAGCTTCTCTGCTTCCAGGCGGCGGTGATACTGGGAAACAAAACACAAGTGGGCTTTTAAAAAGGCACTTAGCACTTTTGCCCTGCTAACATCCAGATCACAGGAGCACGCAGTACAGACACGAACACAGCTCTGTCCCTTGGTATGTCTCAAGGAACACTAACATCATGGGAGTCAGTTTCTAGCCAGAGAGAGGCTACCAGCTTTCACATTGCTTTCTGATTTTTATTTCATTCTGTCACGATCTTGGGGAAAGAATTTGTGTTCTACACTGCCTTACACACAGTCAGTGATCCGCACTAGTGTGATCTGCCTCTCTCTACGATATTTAGGGAGCTGGCCCCTAGGGTAACCACAGACTTTTGTATCCTGGAACAAACATTTGGGGCATGCCCATATTAGCCTTCAAAAAAGTGTTAACTAACTCAAGTTAATTGGCAATCAGATAACTTTAGGTTAAAAAAATCTAGTGTAGACATACCCTTAGACAGAGAGACACTGACAGCTAGACAAAGGCCGTAGGATGGATGTTATACAGGAGGGGTAGGCAACCTATGGCACGTGTGCCGAAGGCAGCATGCGAACTGATTTTCAGTGGCACTCCCACTGCCTGGGTCCTGGCCACCGCTTCGGGGGCCTTTGCATTTTAATTTAACTTTAAATGAAGTTTCTTAAACATTTAACAAACCTTATTTACTTTCCATACAATAGTTTAGTTATATATTATAGACTTATAGAACGAGACCTTCTAAAAACATTTACTGGCACACGAAACCTTAAATTAGAGTGAATAAATGAAGACTCGGCACACCACTTCTGAAAGGTTGCCGACCCCTGTTATACAAACTATCATGCTCTGGGGAAACCAGCCCTGTTGGTCCTGTTAACTGGCTGCTGTCTTTCTCCATCCCGTGTGCTAGCAAACAGCATTTCCTGCATGGTACTTACTTCTCCCTTAAGGCGTTTATACAGCCTCCGTGCAATCATGCCCCTGGCATAAGCCTGGACCGTGAAGACAGCCCAAAGGCGATGGCGGAAGGCCCTGCGCACCAGGCAGCCCCGGCACCTTGCCTGGAACTCGATGATCCGTCTGCGAGCCATGTGGTACTGCGTGTGGAGTTTGCGGGAACGGTAGAGGGCCTGGAGCCTCAGGAACCCAATCCTCATCTGCAAAGGAAACAGGATTAAGACACTGGGCCGCTGAGGGTCTCACCAGCCATAATCAGATTTTCCTCGCTCATCTGCCCTCTCGCAGCTGAAAATACAAACCTGCTGAAATTAGCAACAAGCAAAGACCCCCCCCAAAAAAGCAGGGGAGAGCTGCTGTGAGATGGCAGAGAAACAAAGGGCTCCTGGATTGTGGGGCCTGATCCAAAGATCACTTAGTCAATGGGAGTTTTCCCATTGACTTCCATGGGCTAGAGATCCAAGCCTTTATGGGCTCAATGACCCCTAATGCTTCTTGCGCACAATCTCCTCCCTGTGCTTCCCTTGAGAGGTTTGGCGCTCAAGATCCCCCAGATCTACGCAGCTCTCAGGGCAGTCACAGGTAGTAAGGGCCATGCACAAGGAGGCCCAGCATCTCCCCCTGCCTCCTGTCATGGCTATTACCACTACATTGTCTCCCCCAAGGGGTTCCACATCACAGGAGGGAGCACTTACATTGATTCAGTCAGGGATAGCTTATGCTGGGTTGCGTGGGGGATGATACTGCAGAGAACAGCCATCCCTCTGGCCTTGAATGCTCCCATCCCCAGCCTGCCCCCTGCACACTTCTACAGGCCAAATGTCATGGCACGCCCTCTGCAGGTCTTCTGCTGGGTCAGATCCAGAAGAGGATCATATACCATGCCAGGCACATTCTCTTCTTCAATCCCACCCTCTCTATTGAGTTCTGGGATCTGCCATGCTTGGGGATGCTAAGGGGGCCTGTGTAAATACCCAGGACACCTGCGCAGTTTTGGATGGGGTTGTGGAGTGGGGGGACTGTCAGCAAAACATGGCTGCAGCTGCAGTAAAGTCCAAGGGACAACCTGGATCAGGTGCATTTCCAAGGACAGAGCTACACTGCTTCCTCCAGCTTTAATACTGGCCCTGAGTTTGCAGCCTCCTGAGAAATAACATAAGGCATCCAGGGCCACAGGTGACCAACTGCTGTAAGATGGGTCCAACTCATGACAAAGGCGTGAGGAGGACAACCAAAGAGACGGTCGCTCCCTTTATTCAGAACAGAGGGCAGCGAGGGTGTAGCTTCCCCCCTTCCACCGAACACACTAGCCAGCTGTCCCCTCTCTGACCTTTCCCCTCAGGGGGAGCTTAACTGGACCGAAAAGGAAACTAATATCTGGATCCTAGGCAATGAGACCAAGGCGGGAAGAGCGTAAAGGAGAACTGGCAACACTTACAGCACCATAGTTCTTTCTGCAGTTATGTCCCCGCCAGTATCTCTGAATCATCAGGGCCGAATGTCGCACTTTCAGGAAATTGGACCTGGAAAGGCATTACAAACACGTGTGCTGGTCTGCTGGGGGTTATCGTCATCTTGGCCAGCAGGGAAAGCCGGCATTGTTTACAGACTGTAAGGAGGGCAGCTGGAGTAACCTCCACGCCCTTGAGCTCAGTCGGCTGCCGGATAATGCCAGTCCCAGCCTTCCTTTCCCGCGCAGGAGGAAGCAGAGGCATTGTAGTGGTACTATCACGCTCCTCTCTGCCCATTCCCTATGCTTCGTCCAAAACAGGAACGGGAAGAGCAGTCCAAATGTGCCAGTCCAGTGCTAGGTGATCAACGGTCCTGCCCTGAACTGCTGGGTGACACCTTGGGCCCAGGCTCTTGTGACTTGCCCCTCCCCTCCCCTCCCCCCCATCCTTTGCATTTGGAATCTTCCTCACTCTGTTTCCTCTAGTCTTAGATTTTAACCTCATCCGAATGAGGACTGTAGGACAGATCTGCAGCTGGCATAAATCAGCATAGCTCCATTGACGTCAATGAACGCACCCCCATTGACGCCAGGTGCGGATCTGGCCCCTTCTGTCTTCTTGATGTTCCAGGAGGTGCACAGCACACATTCAGGGCTTGAATGAAATAAGCAGTCGCTAGTCCAAACACACACCAAGCCAGCGCCAGAGTCAGGGACAGGTGACAGAAGCCCGGATTGCTAGTCCCCGGCTTTGAGCAATACTCAGGGCTGCTTCTCTAAGGACAGGCGTACGTCCCGGCATCCTTGGCCGTCATTTTCTCTTTACCCCACATGGCTATGCAGTGTGCTTTACATAGGGTTGTCTTCCTGCCTCTCATCTCTGCAGCACCTGGTTTTCAGTGGGAATGGCTGTACAGCACCTTGGGCTTTGGGATGAGTTGCACTGCAACATACTATTGCTCTTTGCTGCCATAAGGCTGAATATCACCCCCCCCTTAGTCTCCCACTGGAATTTTGTCATTGACTTCAATGGGACCAAGATCTGGCACAGAAGTTCATTTGGAATAGTCTGCTAGTATAACTAAAGTTGGCCAATGAAGAGTGCCTCTGCCGAGTACAGAACTGAGTGTGGACAGAAATCCTTACTCCCATTGTTCTGAAAGTTGGCAACCTGAAAATAGATGTTAATAATTTCCTTCATGCTCTGAGCAGCTCCAGCACCGGTTATAGCATAATGTCAACCCCTGGAGGGCTTTATCATGCTTACCGCGAGCTAAAGCAATAGGCCAGACACACTGCGAACGGGCAGAGTAAGCTAGTGGTACCTGAGGCAAAGAGGACATTGTTTTTGCAGAGTGCCATGAACCAGAACATGGTGTGCCAGTCAGTCGCACTAACAGATCCCCCAATATTCACCAGGCATTTCATTGGCATATAATACCTGTCTTTAAACCCACGAACCACCTTCTGGATGAGGATGACCTTGTCTGTGATGGCCTTGTCCCTCTCAATCTCCAGCAGCATATCATGGTGATCCTGGGGAATGAACCGGCGCACAACAGTTACCCTGTGACCACTGGCCATCCCGTGACGGGAACGGAGGGATGGTATAAGGCTCTTCCCCAGAGGTCAAATCTAAGGACGTCCAACTTTACAACTCACTACGTTTGGGCCTCTACAGCACAGCCACTCACCTTCCGATCAAGGAGAACTGGACTTGAATCTTTCCAGCTCATCCGTGCCACGCCTAAATATGCCAGAAGGGGTCACCGCTGAGCATCACCCCTTCATCCCAGAGGCCGCATGCACTGCAGGGCTTAGTAACAGCGCATGAGTGAATTAAGTCGCCCTCTGATGTTTGGCTCACTACGCTATCAGCTGACGAGTCAGTCGAGTGAGGTTGCTGCCATGCACCTGATTCGGTAGCATTTCCCACCCACGTTGTACAGGTACTAATGACTACACAAGGAGCAGGGCACTGGAGAAGACTGTGGCAAAGCTGGGAGCAAACTCCGAGTCTTGGTCCACTGCTCTGACTACTAGACGTCACTCCCTCCTCCAGTAAAGCATAGGAGCTGCAAAACCTGGACATAGGAAGGAGGGCTGAGGACAAAACGGTACCCCTTCACTCTGCGTTTCCTTGCTTTTGTGGAATTCAGTCAAGTCACGTGATTCTAGCCTCCTTTCTATATCGTCCAAATTGATTTCTATACTAGTTTCTTTACTGGCTGCTGCAGGAGCTGGGTGCATCTATACAACTTTGCATGCTTCCCGTTTTACCCGACCTTGCGCTGCCCTTCAGAACCTGTTCGTTTCCCTATTTCCTGCCTGGACAGCTGCGGGATCCTGATAACGCTCTCTGGAAAGGAAAGCTAAAGGGATGTCAGGAGCAGTTTCTAAGAAATAGCTGGGGAGATGTTTAAAAATAAGTGAACAGGATTACATCTGAGAAACACTAGAGAAATCCCATCTGCCGCCCGGCTCGCTCCTTGACAGCTCGACCTTGTTTTCCTGGAGGGATGTAGAGATGGGATCGTAAAAACAAATGCACGTGAGTAGGGCCGTCAGAACAAGACAGCTCGTTGTTACGCTGCCGCTGTCTCATTGTGCCGCACAGGGCCCTAGATCCAATAGGCAGCACTGCACTGGCCTTGCCAATCCCGAGGGGCACAGAGCTGCTGATCCTCCGCTTGGCACGGCAGGGACCTTTCTGTCACTCCCACTGGCTCTCTGTTGAGCCCGATCCCTCTCTCTCCCCCACATAGGTGCCCCAGGGGTTATGGCAGCCTTGGGGACCAATGTCGCATCTGTCTGACAGGGCCTGATGATAAGGGCCTCGGGAAGAGCCTTGGAAAATGTCAGCGGGTTGTGGAGGGGAGGGGATCACAGGGCATCTGTGCTGCCCCACCATTCCCTACTGCTTGTGCAGAGAGTGGGATCTTTGGGCCAGTGGGCCCCTGTCCTGGCTTATGGAGCTTTCAGGAGCTGTCAGCCAGCCCCAGCACGGGGGGCAGGGGGTGGAGTGAAGGGAGCAACTCAACAGCTCAGCTCTCTCACTGTCTCCATGGGTGTCAGTCAGCCAGGGAGCTTCCCCTCACCCCTTCTCTGCAGGGACCTGGGCGGGGCACTGCCTACACCCTCAAGCCCCTCCTGGGTGATTCTGCTGCCATGTCTGGCAGTGGAGTCATTGTCCCTGCTCTGGGGATACAGCTGGGCAGCCACAAAGCTGCCTGCGTTCTCACAGAGGAGAGGCCTGCGCCGCTTGGGATATGACCAGTGCCGTGCGTGCGCATATCCCAGCCAGGCTCTGTGCCAGCAGAGTGCCAGGATTTCACCCATACTCTGACTCCTAGCTCTCACCTGATCTGGATTCAACACCATCTCCTGGCCCAGTCCCCACCAAATCAGGCCAGAGACCTGGGTGGTGGATGGGGATTAGTTCTAGCTATGTAACCTGCTACTAGGATGGGTGTTAGAGTCCTTCAAAGCTAACGGCAGATGGCAGAACAAGGAGTAATGGTCTCAAGTTGCAGTGGGGGAGGTCTAGGTTGGATATTAGGAAAAGCTATTTCACTAGGAGGGTGGTGAAGCACTGGAATGGGTTACCTAGGGAGGTGGTGGAATCTCCATCCTTATAGGTTTTTAAGGCCCAGCTCGACAAAGCCCTGGCTGGGATGATTTAGTTGGGATTGGTCCTGCTTTGAGCAGGGGGTTGGACTAGATAACCTCCTGAGGCCTCTTCCAACCCTAATCTTCTATGATTCTATGATTCTAACAGCCACTCAATGCACAGACAGCCTGAAAGCATCTTACCTTCAGGAAAATCTTCGTCTTGCCAATCTGCCAATCATCATCTTTCCCCAGCACCACTTCAGCAATTCGCTGGCACGTTCCACGCAGGTCACCCTAGGGGAAATGGGGCAGCGGGACATAGCAGCCTACGGCTCACATGAACACCAGCCGCCCCTACCAGCTATAAACACGGGCAGAGTCTGATCTCATTTCCACCTGTTTTACACTGGTGTAATCTAGTGACATTAATGAGGCTCCTCCTCATTTGCATGCTTCCCTCTCCTGGCTGGCCTAGAAGCAGTGACTGAAGATGACGATTCATTCTAGTCTCAATCCCCAATCCATGACAGTGGCTGTCACTGCTGACTAGCGTATATACAGTAGATGTGCAGTGATGGAGCAACACAGTGGGCAACACAGAGTCCTGGGCTGTGGTGGGAGAGGGAGGAGACACACGCCGCCTCAGTGGCAGGGTCAGAGAGTAACACCTACAGAGGCCTGTGGGGAGCATAGGGAGAGGTCCTGCTCGCTACACCTGTTGAGTCGATGCAGCCAGCACTTTCCCAGTGCAGCCATGCCAGGGCATGTGAGGGGCAGGCCATGCCCAAAAAGGCCCCATCCCTGGGCTGGCTCGTTGTATCAGCTGTGCTCCCCAGCCATCCCTCCGTGGGCTCCCTCTGGTCCCTGCGAATGTGGTGCCTGCATGTTTCAGGCAGTACAGGCTCATCCAGTTATTTTAACTGTTACTGGGGCTTCTGAGCTCAGCTGAATCATAGTCTCACAGACGCCTCATCCTATCTAAGGCGCTTAGATGGCCCCCGTTAACATAGTAACTGAGGGCCTCACAGTCTCTCATGTGTGTATCCCCACAACCCCTCTGTACGACATGGAAGTGCGAGCCCCATTTTACAGCTGGAGAACTGAGGCCCAGGGACTAAGGGCCTGATTTTTAAAAGCACTTAGGGGCCTAACTCCCATTTAAATCAACAGGAATTAAGCACTTAAATACCTTTGAAAATCTGGTCCTAAGCCACTTGGCCAAGGTCACACAGGAAGTTTGTGGCAGAGCAGGGAACTGAACCCAGGTCTCTGGCTAGCACTCTAACCACTGGGTCTTCCTTCCTCTTGACTTTCTCCAGGGCATTAGCACAATGTTTTTTGATAAAAATCCAAGTCACTGCTTAAACCTGTACCTGCTTGTACGCCGGCTTCACCCCGGGCATGAGGACACGATACCTGTCCACAAACTCCACGAAGCTGTAGCGGATGGGATAGCCGGCCCTGCGGATCCGGATGGTCTCCATCATCCCTGAGTACCTCAGCTGGCGAACACACAGCTCCCGATCAAACAACTGGGGAGGGGAAAAATCAGACTGGAACACCAGGGGCTCTTTTGGTTCTGATTTCAAACCTCGCTGGCCTGTGGACTGGCTTAAGCCGTACCATCCAGCCTGAATGTGGGGAACAATCTGAAGTCTTGTGGGGGAAACAAATACAACATCTTCTCCATAGAAACTTTAAAGATTGCCGCATGGGAGGGCCTGAGGCGCAGAGCACATTTGTCTCCGTCCCTTTCTTTAACTCGCACAATGGGATCAAGAAAGGACCCATAGTGTGCTGCAGGGAACTGAAAGGGAACAGGGAAGGCTGTGTGTTAGCGTTCCCGCTAAATCCCTTCCCTTGAAGCAGAAAACAAAACTGCTTTGGTAAATGGCGTCGCTTGCAGGGCCATGGTGTTGGTGTGCATTAGGGATAGTGGAGTTCAAACTGTGTTTGGGGCCATTCTTATTAATGAACAACGACAATAAGGGCTTGTTTACACTGGCAAGTTTCTGCGCAGTAAAGCAGCTTTGTGCGCTCAAACAGCAGATGTGTGCGCATGGCCAAGCCACTTGGTGCGCGGGAACTCCTCAGTTGCAGCGCTGCAAAAAAACCACCTCGACGAGTGCCGTAAGGCTATTTGTACAGAGGCCCCAGCGCTCTATTGCCAGTGTAGACATTTGATTGCTTTCTGTGCTGTCATTGGCCTCCGGAGCTGTCCCATAATGCCTCGCGTGACTGCTCTGCTCATTGTTTTGAACTTGACTGCCCTGGAGACATGCTCCCCTCCCCTTTCAAAGCACCTTTTCTGACAGCCCTTGGGTGCTGTGCTGATCTGCTCCGGGGCACAAAGCAAACCATTAATGTGGAATGCTCGTGCTGTTGAACACAGAGGCAGGGGTGTGTGTGTGTGTGTGTGTGTGTGTGTGTGTGTGTGTCGATGTGTGTGTGTGTGTGTGTGTGTGTGTGTGTGTGTGTGTGTGTG